GAGTAGAGAGAAGCGGTAAGATGTGAGATGTAAGCTGTTGTAAAGATAGAAATGGTGAAATTTTGTATCTGATTAAATTTGTGGGGTGAGTGAGGAGTGGAATATAATGCAGCTGAGATTATGGACCCGGAGACGGGAAAGATGGTGGTGCCTTCCACAAAAATAGCAAAGTTTGGAAGAGAAGAGAATTTTTGGGAAAAGATAATGAGATAAGTTTTGGGCATATTGCATTTGAGATGTCTCTGAGCTATCAGATCTGAAATGTTTATTACGCAATTGGTAACGATGGTCTAAAACTCAGGGAAGAGACTAGGAACAGAAATATGTCTGGGAGTCCTAGTTAAACGCATGGGAACTGATGAGGCTGCCACAAGAATGAATGTAGGGGTAGAAGAGAAAAGAGCCTAGGACAGAACTTTAGGGGACACCTACAGTTAGGAGGAGTGATATGGATAATAAACCAATAGAGGAGACTGAGAAGTAATGATCATACAGGTAGAAGGAGAACCAGCAGGAAAGTATCACAAAAGCCCAGAGGAGACAGTATCCAGGAGGGGAGTGTGGTCAGTAATGTGTAGTGTAGCTGATAGTTCAGAAAGAAGGAGGACTGAGAAAAGACTGGAAGATTTGGTGATTAAGAGATTGTTGGTAACTTTGGAAATAGCAGTTTCAATTGAATGATAAGGTCATAAGGCAGATTGCAAAAGGTTGATAAGTAAATGAGAGGAGAATTAGTGGAGACAGTAAGTTTAGATTTTTTCCCCCCAAGAAATTTCAATGAGAAAAGGAGGAAAGATATAGGATAATAGCTTGAGGGGATGGTAGGGTCTAGTAAAGACTTTTTTAAGGATGGAAGGACTTGAGTATATTTGAAGGCAGTTGGCAAAAAAATCATTAGATTGGGAGAGATGAAGATATGAAAAGGGGCAGGGAATGATTGAGGAAGTATTCTACTAGAAAATATGCTAGGGAATAGGATCAAGTCCGTAAGTGGAGAAGTTGGCCTTGGTGAGGAAGGCCATTTTTTTTTTCCATCACAGACTGGAGAAAAGGAGGTGAGAAAGGGGAGAATGTCAGAGCATCTTGAGGTAAAAAGAATTTGAGAAGATGATGCTCGCATCAAATAACCTCACTTTTCTCAGTAAAGAGACAAGGTGGTCAACTGAAAAGGGTGTTATAGGAGGCTTCAGAAGTTTGGAATAGCCTCTGTGGGAAGTGAGATAGGGAATCAGTTGAAATAAAAATACTGAAATAAAATGACTGCCTTGCTATAGTGAGGGACCAGTTAAAGTTGGATAGCATGAATTTATAATCTACGCAGAGAGCACAACTGAGATTTCCTTCAGCAATATTCATTGGCTGGTGAGTAGTAGAAGAGAAACCTGGTGGTGAGAATAATCCAGGGCTGAAATTTGGCAACAGATGAATGGATTGAGATAGAACAAAGGGGCAAGAGATTCAAGAGCAAGGGACAGTTTAGAGATGAAATGAAAAGATTAGGTTGAGATTGGAGAGAGAGGAGAGTGAAGTCAATGCAGGGGTAAGCATCTCGGGGCTGGAGAGATTGAAGATCTCTGATGGTAAAGAAAAGGTTTAGGAGGAGTGTGCATTTTCACGCAAATTATGTTTAACTGTGCCTCCCCCATCCTTTTCATTATGAAATCAATTATTTGAACTTTACATTGATTGCTATTGAATTTAATCTTAAGAGATTTGCTTCATTGCTCTAGGCTGATGGGATTTGGGAGGATCCTAACTCTATCATCCATTATATTAGCTATATTTCTCCTCTCAAATTCATGTCACTTCCAAATCTGATAGGCATGCCATCTTCATCCAAGTCAGAAATGTTGAACAGTATAGGATTAAGGACAGAGCCTTAGAGTACTAATAGCTATCATAATAATATAACATTTATATTTAGTACTTTTATATAATAACCATTTATTTTTATTATAAGCATTTGTATAGTGCTTTAAGGTTTGCAAAGCACTTTATAAATATTATCTCATTTTATCTTCACAACAACCCTGAGAGGTAGGTGCTTGAGGTAAAAAGAATTTGAAAAGAAGAAGATACTTACATCAAATAACCTCACTTTTCTTAGTAGAGAAACAAGGCGGTCACCTGAAAAGGTGTTGATTTTACAGATGAGGAAATTAAGTCACAGAGAGCTTAAGTGACTTGTCCAGGATCACACAGCTAGTATCTGAGGCCAGTTTTGAACTCAGGTGTCCTTTATCCATTGCATCACCTAGCTGCCTTGATATCATCCTCAAACTGGCATATATCCATTAATGACAACTCTTTGGGCCTGGTCATTTGATCACTTCTGGATCCAACTATATAACCTAATGTACCATTGTCTAGCAATCATCTCTTAATCTTGCCCTCAAGAATAGCATAAGAGACTTTGTCAAATGTCATCAATCTTAGTATTGATGTCTGGGACCACACAAATAAGTCCTGTGCTTCTTCCACATGACAGGCTTTGAAATATTTGAAGTCATCTTTTTTCCAGGACAAACATCCTCAAATTCATTTAACTATTCTCTATATGCCATATTTCTTGAGCCCCTCACCATCCTACTTTCTCTTCTCTGGACATACTCAATTTAGCCAATGTCTTTACTAAACCACAACATAATACTCAGATGTGGTCTGGACTGTTATCTCCCTCATTAGGGATACTCTGTTCTTTTTAATGTAGGCTTGAGTTTAGATGGGCATTCTTTGGCCAGGATGTCACACAGTTGACTCATTTTGAATTCACAGTCTACTAAGATCCCCGGGACTTTTTCATATGAACTTTTTTCTAGCCTCTCTTCCCTTATCTTGTTCTTGTGTAGCTGATTTTCCCCCCATTTAATAGTATTTTATTTCTTCCAATTACACGTAAAGATAATTTTCAATATTCACTTATATAAGATTTTGAGTTCCAAATTTTTTTTCTCCCTCCCTCATTCTTCTCCCCTCTCCCCAAGATGGCAAGCAATCTGATATAGGTTATACATGTGTAATCATATTAAACATATTTCCACATTAGTCATGTTGTGAAAGAAGAATCAGGACAAAAAGGATATAGTTGATTTTTAAGACCTAGGTATTCACCCTCCCTCATCTTGCTCATGAGAATATTGTGATCACCACTTTCCTGTCCAAACATATACAAATCATAGCTCTAAGATGGTATGATTACTTTCTCCCAACACTACTGTTATTTAGTAGTTAACATTTAGATCGCATCTTTTTTTCTTTCAAAAAATAGATTATTATTTGACTAATGTAAAAATTTGTTTTGCATGACTTCATATGTATAATGGGTGTCACATTTCTTGCCTTTTCAACGGATGACGGAGGGAGCTGAGGGAAGAAGAGAATTTGGAACTGAAAATTAAAAAAAATAAAATGGGAGAAAGTAGATTGTTATTGATATATTTCCTCTTGTACTTCTCCCCTCTCCCCTTCCTCTTTTAAAACAAATATATTTTTAAATGGAATAAGAAGAGACATATGTAGCATTTTAAGATTTATAATGTACTTTGTTAACAAAAACCCTGCAAGTATTATTATGCCAAGTGCTTTGCAGACCTTAAGATGTTATATACATTTCTATCATCATCATCATCATCATAGTTTGATCTCCTTCATCAGTTACAACCAGGTTTATGGTACTATTAGGTGAATTTAAATTCACAGCTTTGAGCCCCCACCGATGCTCCTCATTATACAAGAAAAAGCCCAGTCATACATTAATTCAGAGCAAAAGGCATTCAATTGCATATAATATCAAGGCAAATAACAAAGAAAAATCCCCTGTACGCAAAATGGCATCTTCCCTCGCAGACTCATGCCAAGCAATGGGAGAGGGGACATTCTCCAAACATTTATGCTCCTAGGCCTTCCTTACAGCCTTTACTTCTCTTATGGCTCTTGGAAATAACACAAGGTCTGGAAGCAGAGGACCTAGTTTCAAACTCTACCTCTTGAACTTACTGCCTTTGTGATCTTGGGCCTTATCCTTATCCATTTATCCTTCCTGGGCCTCACCTCCCTCATCTGTAAATGAGGGGGTTGTGCTAGGTGACCCTTAAGGTTCCTTCAGGTTCTAAGGCTGCGATCCTACTTGTGAGCTTGTAAATCTGCTTTGCCTTATGGCAAAGAAGGATCTCCTGTGATCTTCTTTGGTGATGGTTTTCCTAATGACAAAGCAATGGGTGTGAACTCTTGGGATTTCTTATATAATGGAAAACTGTTTTTGGAAAAGGATGTGAAGATGGAGGGAGGTGGGTATGAGCATCCAGCAGTTCACTGGTGCATAGTACCATCACTAGTGAGGCTGTTTACTCTCCTGAGCTTATAGATAGCTAGGCTGGAGCAGTTTCTTGTAAATCCTTCATATCTAGGGGACTGGCGAACCACTTAGGCTAATTTGTTAGTAACATTCCGCATAGTAGGAACATTACACATTTTCCTTGTTCTCACATGATGGAGCCTTTCCACCCCTACCCTGATATGTGTCCTCTGTATCAATCAGCCCATGGACAAGTGTTTATGCAACATCTGCTATGTAGCAACACTGCAGCACACTCTGGGACGGTCCACATGCTCTTTCTGATGGCTCTGAGTTATTTGGTGCGGTAGTGGCACGAAGTCTATAAAACGCCCACTCTTAAGCCTTTAATGAGTCACTGAAATGCTCAGTTTACATCAATATAGACGCACTTAGCCCATCAGGCCTGCAGAAGATTTGACAAACTTGGCAGAGCTGTTTTCCCACTGGAAAGTGAGCTGGCAGCTGATAAACTAGAATGTTAAAACATAAGCACATGGATGAACGAAACCTATTTAGTCATGGGGGGGAGGGGTACCCTGGGGAGCCTCAAGGGTGGGTAGGAATGTTGATGGGATTACAGGGAAGGGAAGAGGGGACTGGAACTCTGAGCTCAGATAGCCTCATGGGCTCACTTTTAAAAAAAATTTTATTCCCCCCCCCATAGAGGAGTTTTCTTAGACACGATTCTCCCCCGCCGAGATGACAATGGTGTTCGACCGACCATCGGCCAGCGAGTTCGGCTCAGCCAGGGAGACATAGCCCAAGCCAGGAAGCTGTACAAGTGCCCAGGTAATCACAGTCGTTTGCAGTGACTGCCATTCATTCCGCTCAGCTCTATATCAAAACTCATTCTCTATTAGGGAACATTTCCCTTTGCTGAAAGAACTTGGAAATCCTAGAGAGAGCACCAGAATGCTGCAAGTCCAGGGTTCTGTAGCAACTCAGTTGCTCTCTGGTGGTCTGAGGTCTCCGAGAGTCTTTGTATCCTTGCGATCATTTCAAAAGGCACTTAGCCGGTGTTTCCAGGGAGGTGATACTATGTGAGATGCTACTTGCGTTCTGTGTAACCCTGGTAATAGCTGACATTTTGGCACTGCTAGGCTTGGGAGTGCTTTGTTTGTTAAATCCTTTGAAAGGCTTCAGGTGAATTTGGTTTCTTGAAAGCAGCAATTAGGATGGTTGTGTCCCATTACCCTTATCCCAACCCACTTGAAATTTTTGGGAAAACCTTGGCTTTCTAAGGAGTGAGAGTAGATTGGGACAGAGGGTGTTTCTAAGTGGGAGGAGGCTCTTCTAGCTGATGGAAGAACAAGGGCAGGGATGAGGCCCAGAGCAATCTGGGACTTGTCCCATTATGAAAAATCCTTGGCAATGCATAGAGCCCAACTGTTAGTCATCTAGGAATGTGTTAGGGTCGAAATGCAGGACATAAATCTCATGTAACCTTGCTAGATTTAAAGGGTAACATTATCGCGATTGCTAGCAAATGCCATGCAGCCGCACGGTAATTTATACATTCTTGCAGATTATTTGTAATTGCAGTAACAACTTCCATTTCACCTTTACTGGTGTTGGTTGACCCGAGGAATTCTGCCTGTACCTGGCAGTCAAGTGTTAAAATGATACTGATGGCCTGTTCTTCTAGGATTTCCCTAGTCTGATCACTGGGAGTGGTCTGTTTTGCTTTCTCAGTGCTCAAAAAATATGGATGACTTCCACCCAATAGTTGCAGGCAAGGAGATTTATCCATGTTTAATTTGAATTGAAGACTAGGAGGGCTTCTTGAATTTCTTAGGGTTCAGGGTCACCTTAATGGGGAGGAGAGGTGAATGACAATGCCTGCTGCTGTCATAAACATTCAGAAAGTTGTGAGCATTGAGCTGGGACACAGAATTGTTGCCACATTGCTCATTGGCTTTGTACTATCAAATAAATACATGCTCCCCAAGTTCCGGAAAACATCCACTTTGAGGTCCCAGGTACCTACGTTTGGGTCATTTTTTAAAAAATAAAAACACAGAGGAACAATGGGGAAAGCCATTGATATTAGTGTTTATAACCCTTTAGTGTCCAAGGATGGCATGTCTGATTGGGAGATTATCTGGTTTTACTGTTTCTGGCCAGGCTTATTACCACTGCTCATTTTCTGGCCATTTTTGTAGCCCAGTAACGCCTTTGCCAAATGTTGGAAAGCAGGGGAAGAGAAAAGAAGCATGATCAAAGCCTATCTGTTCTACCTGTTGGCTAATTCAGGATTTGATGGGAAAAGAGCTTGGACTGAAGGGATAAAATGTGAGATGCCTTAGCCAGGGTCACATTGCCTTGGCCAGGGTCATTTCACAGTTACATCATTAACATGACCAAATCCCACTTGCCATCATGTGGGGAAACCACATTATGGGGATAATGACATTCAGCCTTAGCTGCAACTTGGACGGGTTGGCTCTGGAACCAGCTGCCCATGGTAATAGAGTTCACTCAACATTGTGTTTTTACAGAATCAGCTGTGTGGTACATAGAATGGAAAGCGCTTTGGATTTAGAGACAGAGGAATTGGGTTTCCAATCTTCCCTCTTCTACTTACTTTGTAGGATCTGGGGCAAGTCATTTAATCTCACTGGGCCTCAGTTTCCTCATTTGTAAAATTGAAATGCTTGTATTTTTTGTGTCTATGCAAAACAGCTGTGGGTACTCCCTGTTTCTCTTGATCAGAGAGAGCAGAATATTGGATGAAACCTCTTTCCTAACTACTAGGTCAATTAATAACGCCTAGCTCACAGAGTCGTGTGATAATAGGTCAAATGAGATAACATGTAGAAGGTACCTTACAAATCTTAAAGTGCCATAGAAATGCTAACTATAATTATTAATAAAATCAAGTGCTTTGAGCTCCTTGGAAGAATCACAGAATAATAATATAATGTAACAAATAAAAATTATATGTAATATACATATATCATGCAAGGTCTCAATTAGTGGAAATAATGAATTCCCCCAAAGTGGTCACATCATTCTAATTTGCATTACATATTTCCAGTGAACTAGAACCAGTTACCATATTTTACCTAAAATTTCAAATAGTTATGAGTTATACCCAATTTATATTATAAAACATATTACATCTATGATATTATACATAACCTAATTTATATTACTATTGTTTTGTTGACCTAATTTGTATACACCTAATTTCAATAGTAGGGCACAGTTGGGTGGTGCAGTGGATTGGGTGCCTGGCTTTGAGTCAGGAAAACTTATCTTCCCGAGTTCAAATCTGGCCTTAGACACTTATTAGCTTATGTGACCCTAAGCAAGTTACTTCACCCTGTTTGCCTCAGTTTCCTCATCTGTAAAAGGAGTTGGAGAAGGAAATGGCAAACCACTCCAGTATCTTTGCCAAGAAAATCCCAAATGGGGTCACGAATCGTCGGACACAACTGGAAACGACTGAACAACAATTTCAATCGTGCATATTTAAATACATGTGACCAACTTAGGAAATTCATTATTCATATTAATTAGTACCTAGCTATATACATACATATGTTTATACATATAAAATTATGATGATGATAATAATGATGATGATAACAATGATAATGATAACATTTATATAATGCTTACTAGAAGCTAGGCACTGTGCCAAGTGCTTTAGACATATTATCTCATTTGTCACAATAACCCTGGGAAGAAGGCACTATTATTATCCCCATTTTACAGACGAGAAAAAAAGGCAAATAGAGGTTAAATGACTTGCCCAGGGTTACATAGTTAGATACACAGTTAAGTGTCTTGAGACTGAATTTGAACTCAGGTCTTTCTGACTCTGCTCTATCCACTGTGTCTGCTAGCTGCTCCCAACTACACAACTTGTATTATTTTATTTACATACAGTCTATATAAATATACATATACATGCATACATATACATACAGATGTGTGTTTATACATGCATTCATATATGTGTGTATATACATATATATACATATGTGTATGTATGTATATATACACACTCACATACTCGTACATGTACATATGTCTACAACTGGTGGCATGGTGGATGGAGCACCGCCCCTGAAGTCAGAAAGACCTGAGTTCAAATACAGCTTCAGACACTTACTAGCTGTGTGCCTTGTAAGTCACTTAACCCCATTTGCCTCAGTTTCCTCATCTATAAAATGAGACTAATAATATCATCTACCTCCCAGGGTTGTTGTGAGGCATGTTTGAGGATATGTTTGAAGCACTTGGTACAGTATCTGGTACATTGTAAATGCATATAAATGTTAGCTGTTATAATAATAATAATTATTATTATTACATACTATGTTTATATGTATATATGTTTATATGTGTATTCTGATAGGGAATTTGAAATTTTCCCAGATTTATTCAGAAGTCCTTACTTGTTTATAATGTCAATTTGTATGGGAGAGCTGAGGTAAGTTGCCTGGGTAATTTCATGTGCTAGAAATCACAGTTGTTGTTGTTTTGACTCAACAGCCTGTGGAGAGACGCTGCAGGACACAACAGGAAACTTTTCTGCCCCTGGTTTCCCAAATGGTTATCCTTCCTATTCCCACTGTGTCTGGAGGATATCTGTCACTCCTGGGGAAAAGGTAGGTGTGGAATTCTTTTGGGAAATAACATCATCATTTGAAGTAGGCCTAGGCTAGAGGGACCTTTGAGCCATAATCTGGATGTTCTACGTATGTGTTAAATAGAGCTATCCTTATTTTCAATTGATTTCTTAAAAAAAAGTATTAAACATTTCTTAGGCTCAGAGGGTGAGAGCTAGAAGGACCTCCCCTCCATCATCTTCATTTTATAGATGAGGAAACCATGCCTTGCCCAACGTAACTCAGGTCTTCAAGTTCCCTGCACCATGCTGCCCCCTTTTGCATGAAATGTGCTGAGCTAGGCATCATCAGAGATGAAAATACATATATGACATGCTCTCTACCCTCAAGGAGCTTGTAATCTAGTAGATAAGAAAACAACTTCCCCAAGTTAATTGATGAGGCTTGCTGAAAGCTTTTACACTAATGTTTGTTTGGAGCATCCAGTGATATAGTTGGTTCAGAGGGAGAGGTGTGAGCTAGTATCCAAGACTGTCTCAGATAGACATGATTGTCATAGAATCATAAGACTGAAAGGAAACCTGAGAGATTACCCCAGCTGGTCAGCTAGTAACCCCAAACTACAAGCCTGGCTGGAATTTGCTAACTGAGAAGGACTGGTTTTCCTGTTTCCTCTCTCTGTGGTATTTTGAGTTTTAAACTCTTTGTTACGGTAAAAGTCTGCTTCCAATGTGAAGAGTATACTGTCCCAAGCTTCGGGGGTTTGTACAGTTGTTTTCAGAGATACTTCTAGGGACCTGTAAATTTTTAGTTCTTCCAAGGTGGTATGATAAGGGGCGAGGTGTTTCCTCTCCACCACCACAACAAGCTCCACCACACCAGCGTTCCTCCTCGCCCCAGGACCGCCCCTCAGAACTGTGACCCAGATTCAAGCACTGGTAAAGCAAGAGCTTCCTGCCTCAGCACTGGCAAAGAGATCCCTGCAAACCCCCTCTGATCAGCTACTTGATTCCCCCTCAGTCTGTGGGCCAGAAGCTCAGGAAAAAGCCGCGGCCTCGGGCCACGATCAAGACTTGCAGCTGAGACCTAGCTCCTCTCTCACCGCAGTCACAGACTTTTCCCACTGACCTTCTAAGTTGTCTTTGGCATTCAGGTGTTGAGAAGTCTGGAAACTACCACAGCTGCCCGAGATTCAGTCCTCTGAGGCCTGCTCCAGGGTTGCTGTGCTCCTCTTCCAGCGGGGCATGATACGCCTTTCCAATCAATCATCCAGGCTGTCTTTGGCTGGAGATTTGTTTCACTCTGTCTTTTTGCGGGTTCTGCTGCTTTAGAATTTGTTTAGAGCCATTTTTTTAGGTATTTGGAGGGCTTTGGGGAAAGAGCTCAAGACAGTCACTGCTTTCCCTCCACCATCTTGGCTCCGCCCCCCTCTGTGGTATTTTGAGCGGCCAACAGATGGTGACAGGTAAGTGTGTCCAAGTCTGTGTGTGCTGTTTGCACAGCCATAGGGATAAAATCATGCCAAGGTATTACAAAAATAACCACTGGAAACTTGACAAATATTTCATAAAAGTCAGTGTATTGAGATACACAAGCATAAATGCTACTACCAAAAAGAATCTATCTTTCATCCTATTCAAACTGGTCTACCTTTCCTACAGACAAATATAACCCCTTAGCCTCATAGATTGGGCAATGGAGAGGTAATTCTGCTATGTAGAACAGTCATGGTTCTTCAAGGTTCTGTCCTGGGCCCTTTACTCTGTCTACACTCTCTCCCTTGGTGATAAGCCCCCATGCATCCAATTATCACTTTGGAGACAACTCTCAAATTTATTTACTCTGCCCTAATATCTCTCTCTTCAACCACAGTCTCAAGTCACCAACTGCCTGCTAGATATCTCCATCTTGATGTCCCATTGACATCCCAAACTCAGCATGTCCAAAATGGAACTCATCATGTCCAAAATGGAACTCATCATGTGTTCCTCCAAGCTTAGACCTTCTTTAAACTTCCTATTTCTGTTGGAGGAACAACCATCCCTCAGATTTCCCAGTATTGCACTCTTGATGTCAGACTCTTCCCCTCCTCATGAACCATATTCAATCAGTTGCCAAATCTTGTTATTTCTACTTCTTCCCACCTCTTTTCCATTCTATCTCCTTCTTCCCACTCACACCTTCTCCACTCTCATTCAGGCTCTTATCGCTTCTTGCCTATACTATTGCAGTGATCTCCTAGATGGTCTTCCTATTTCAAGAATCTTCCTTCTCTAGTCTATCTTCTTTCTAGCTGCTAGATTGATAGGATTAAAACACAGATCTAATCAGGTCACTCCTCTACTCAAAGATCTCAGTGACTCCCTATTATACCTCAAATAAAATATAAGGCCCTCCTTCCACAACCTGGTTACTATGCACTTTTCCTGTCTTGTTTCACAGGATTTCTTTTTACAACTTGCTATTATTGATCTGGAAAATGGGAACAACTATAGCATCTCCTTCCTAGAGATGTTGTAAGGACCAAGTGAAATTTTAAATACACATACATATATACACACACATACACAATATATGTATATAAAATATATATGCATGTATTTGTATATACACATCTATACATATATATACATATATATTCATACACACACACATATGTATAGATACACACATTTTTTTCATACCTTAAAGTGCCATATAAACATTTGCTATTACTGTTGTTGTTATTCCTGCCTGCCAAACTGGCCTGATAACAACAAAACAAAATTTAAAACTCCAGACCCTGACCAACTCTTGACATTGGTAATGCATTAACCCATAATTCCTCTAATTATTACAGGTGCTGTTTAGCAGATCAGAAAGAACAGTAATTAGTATACAAAAGAAAAATCATAAGCAGATGTTTAATAATAATAAACTGGACTAGATAACCTCTAAGTCTCCTTCCAGCTCTAAATTTATGACCATCATACATCAGCTTTGCCATAAGTGCTTGGGAAAGTCTCATTATGGGAATGGAACCGAGAGATGAGTTGATCAATTAACCCATTAGCAAGCATTTATTTAGTTCTTACTATGTGCCAGTAACTCTATTAAGCAGTGAAGATACAAGAGCAGAACAGCCTTTTCCCTCAAGGGCTTGCATTCCAACAGGGAACACAACAGGTGGATAATTGGATGTATTCAAGACACATCTAAGGTGGATGGAAGGAGATTGGGGTAGCTGGATGATGCAGTGGATAGAGCGCTGGGCCTGAAGTCAGGAAGATTCATCTTCCTAAATTCAAATCTGGCCTCAGACACTTCCTAGCTGTGTGACCCTGGGCAAAACACTTCACACTGTTTGCCTCAGTTTCCTCATCTGTAAAATGAGCTGGAGAAGGAAATGGCAAACCACTCCAGTATTTTTTCCAGGAAAACCTCAAACAGACTCAGACATGACTGGAAAGAGTGAACAATAACAACGACCTTAGCAGCTGGAGAGACCAGAAAAGACCACCGAAGGGGGCAGTTAAGTTAAGTCTTCATTTGCTGCTAAAATGGGTGATTTTTGACTTTCATCTCCTTTACTTCCCAATGGATGCTGGAGGTGCTGGGAGGAGGAAGGTAGGATGGAGGAAGAGAAGGTCAGGATCGGGGGAATCCTCAAATTGGCTGAATTGGTAGTTTTCTTCTATGTCCTGCTTGTGCCAAGGATCTAGATTTAAATTTGTAAAATATGTAACTTCTGTCCTCAGACCTATGACTTCATCTGTATGTGGATCTCCTAGTATAGAAGCTTCCTTTATTGATGCAGATCAGGACCTCCTCAGTAACTGACATTTAGAGGATTGCCTCTGCGGTCTCTGAGAGATTAAGTGATTTGCCCAGGAGCACGTGTGTGAGGCAAGACTTGAACACCCAGTTCCTTCTGACTCCAAAGCTATCCTCTATCCACTACACTATGCCCCCTTTCTTCACGTAACAAGTGCTCAGTAAATATTGGTGGGTGGACTTTTTCCTTAGCCTCTGAAAATACAGACCACTGTTAATTATTCAAAAACTAATTGTACTGGTTTGAGATTGACTGAGACCCATGCATCTTCTCTTCCTTTCACAGCTCATTACTGAGGTGAAGAAATGGAAGGAAAAGAAGCGATGCTCAAATCAGTCAGTTCTGCTACTTGCTATAAACTCTGGTGAAGGCTGGGAGAGGAGAGTGAAATAATTGGTTTAAATGAGACATTGGGGAATTTCAATTATCTAGGCTCTCCCTCTCCTCCATTAGTAGACAAATGTGATTAGGCCAAAGTTATGTGGTTCAGTCCATACCCATAGCCACTCAGAGGCAGGACATATGTGCCCCCCCAATATACATACATACATGTATATATGTGGTATATATGTGTACATATATACCTACGTACATGCATATACATATATGTATAGGTAGGGTTGTGTGTGTGTGTGTATGTATGTATGTGTGCATGCAGTTGGTGAGATGGATAATGTTGGGCTTGGAGTCAAGGAGATAGATTTAAGTTCCTCCTTCAACACTTACTCAGTATACGATCCTGGCAAGTTTCTTAATGTCTAAGATCCTGGGCAAGTCATTTAAGCTTTAGATGTCTCAAGGAACTCCCTAGGACTTAGCTACTATGTCACAGACCTGTTGAGATCTACTTTTGTGGAGGGACTTGCCACATTGGAAATTCCCTTTCTTTCTGCCCTCCTCTCTTCTCCACACCCTTCCCTCCTCCCCTCTCATTCCCTTCTTTCTTCCCTTTCCTCCCCTCCCCTCCCTTCTCCTCTGTTTTGTTTTGTCTTTGTATTCCCAGTGCCTTGCACATGACTTAGTAAACAATTATCAAAATCAATTAAAATTCTCCAGGGAATGCCAGCTACTATAATCTTCCTTGGCAACATATTCATTATCCAAATAAACAGCATCACTTTGTGGTCATTGTTTTTATCTATATTAGTCTTGTGTTCAAAACATAGTGCTGACTATGTTCCAAGAACTGTGCTAGGAACTAAGGGAGAGATGCAAAGCTAAGTCAGGGCTCGGGGTACACATAGCAACGTGGCGTGGAGATGGTCTGGAAACAAAAGCGTGTCTACTGGAGCCCAGGGTCTGGAGGGTAGAGTCCGAGGTTCTGGTGGGGGAAATGAGGAAGATGGTGAAAGGGTAGACAGCACAGCCATCATGATGGTCGGGAGAAGTTTCCTTTCAGTCCAAAGGAAAAGAAGAGACAAGAAGTAAAGGCAGAGAGGAGAGAGGAGGGGAGGGAAGGAGAGACAAATTCAGGCTTGGGTTAAGTCAAGTGGGTTTTGTACTCAGAAGGTAGGGCCATCTCCTCAAACTGAGGGCAAGGGATGGAATTGCCAGCAGAGGGAAAGGACAGTGTCGACAGTCTATTAGGAGGTCACCAAGAGATAAATAAAGGTGTTCGCAGAGAGTGTAAGCAGGGTTGAGCTGTTCACGACTTGCATTGAGCCAAGTAGTTGTGGTATGTAGTCTTCCTACGGCAGTTTCCTATGACCTGGAAATAAGAGCAGCCAAAGAAGGCAGACAATGGGAATTCCAATCTGGTTTTCTGTTCTGACCTGCCTGGAAGTAGGAGAGTGCAATGAGGACCACTTGAGATTGTTAAGTAGAATCCTACGGTGCAACTTGGGAATGGCTTTTTGGACGTGAGGATACTGGAGAAAAGATATTAGAAATACTTGCCCTGAAAAAGAAATTACTGAAGTAGCCAACGAAAAATGGATAGAAGTAATGCATGAAAGTGTTCCGTCTTCCTGCGTCAGTTGGAATGATCATGATTTTCCCTTATATTTGCACTTCATTGATGCCTCATCTCTTGCCAAATCACTAGTCTTTTCTTCCCCTGGCCGGTCTTTTAATGTCTCTTTCTTTTGGTCAACAGCCGTATGACTTAAGAAATTTAAGTTCTTCATTATAAAATGCCCTGGAAACGAATTCCTCCCTATTTATTCTCTGTTTTTCCTGACATTCATTATTATGATCTTTGGTGGAGTTTTTTTTTGGGGGGGGGAGGGAAAGAGGTCTGGATCTGTGATTTCATGGGTATAGGGAACTTCCCGTAAGGAAAGTCCCTCTACTGAAGCAAATCAGCAAGTGTTCAGAAATTTTTTTTGGGGGGGGGAGCAAGGCAATTAGGGTTAAGTGACTTGCCCAGGGTCACATAGCTAGTAAGTGTCAAGTGTCTGGTCTGAGACCAGATTTGAACTCAGGTCCTCCTGACTCCAGGGCCGGTGCTCTATCCACCTAGCAGCCCCAGGAATTTATAGTATTAAGAGAATCACCTAGAGCCCAGAGAGGTTGTAACCTGCTCAAGGTCACACCACTATAATATGTCTTAGGTGGAATTTGAACCTGGGTCTTCCCAACTCTGACGCTAGCTGTCTATCCAAAGAATGGCTAGGTGGTGCAGTGGATTGAGTGGAGCATTGAGCCTAGAATCAGGAAGTCTCATTTTTGTAAGTTCAAATCTGTTCTTGGACACTTACTAACTGTTTGGCCCTGGGCAAGTCACTTAACCCTATTTGCCTTTGTTGCCTCATTTGTAAGGCAAGCTAGAGAAGGAAATGGTAAACCACTTCAGTATCTTTACCAAGAAAACCCCAAATGGAGTCACAAACAGTAAGACAGGACTGAAAAACAACTGAACAGCAACAAGCTCTCTATCCATTATGCCATGCTGACTTTTGTTATCACAGTTATTACTTGTCTTTTATTAATACTATAAACAATAATATGTTTATAGAGCACATTGCTGTATCCAAAGTACTTTCAAATGAAGGCCACTTGTTTTCATGAAGGGACACTAGATTGTGCTGTGGCTTGGGAGAAACGTTTAAGAAGCTCTTTGCTGGGTTTATCTTGAGAGTCCCGTCCCTCGCCCCTAACTCTGTCTGTGCTACCTCTTTACAGATTATTCTGAATTTCACATCTATGGACCTGTTTAAAAGCCGCCTGTGCTGGTATGATTATGTAGAGGTCCGAGATGGTTACTGGAGAAAGGCCCCCCTCTTGGGTGAGTGAATATTGGAATGCTTAATGTGAATTGAGAGAGCAATGTGCTGCTGACTTCCTGGCTTAGGGGCTAAGTCACTTATTTCCCCAGTTCTCAGTTTCTTCTACCTCTCTTACTCCTTCAGGAGATGTCAAATGGATTTGAATAGACCTCTCTTGGACTCAGGCTTCTCATTTGCAGGGGAGGGTATTTATCAAATTAGAAGATGTCCTATCCCACAATCAATCTATGATCATCCCTGGGTCTTAATTTCTTATTTTGTCAAATGGAAATAGTATCTGTATTGCCTACAGTCAAATGTTTTCTGTGTGCCAGGCACTGTGCTAGGCATGGAGAATTCAAAGAAAAGAAAATAGACGAATACGGCGGGGCCATAATGTAGAGCACCAGGGCATGGAGTCAGGAAGACCTCAGTTCAAATCCAGCCTCATATACTCACTATCTGTGTGGACCTGTCACTTAACCTCTGTCTGCCTCTGTTTCCTCATCTGTAAAATGGATATAGTAATAGCACTTACCTCCCAGGGTCTTGAATTGAAGGAGATTGAGGATTGAATGAGATATTTGTAAAGGGCGTTGCAAACCTCAAAGAGCTAAGCAATGCTGATTATCTTCATCATTATCATCATCAATTAGATGACACAATAAATGGAAAGAACACCCAGACATCTGGGTGAGAGGTGTTGGGTAGTAAGAGATTGTTTGGTTTTTGGGTTTTTTTTTAATTAATTCAGTAGAAACTGGGCCCCAGAAGAGACCTCTTTTATAGATGAGCTAAGAAATGTAATTCAGCTGGTGGAAGGAGGGTTAAAAGGGAGAGGCCTGTGTTACTGAGGCTTTAGCCACAAAAATGAGCTCCAACATCACAACCAAGTATTGGTAGTAGAGCAGAGCAGGAGAAGCCAGGGTCTGTGGCCAGCCTCACACATGCAGCCTGTGGCCTGGGGGACTTCTGTCTAATAACATCAGTATGGCTTGTGTTGGCCCCTACCCTGAAGTTTTCCTTGGCACGTACGAATATGGCTTTTCACTTCACCTGCAGTCAACTCCAGCCCACATGTTTCTTGGAGTTTAAGATACACCTGACTTAATATTCTTGTTCTTGGGATATGACAACAGGGTCAGATAATACAGTGGTGGTGACTGGATTATCCTGGTATGACTTGGGAAGACAGGGTGAGACATGGAAAACAGGGTGGTATATATAAAGGACTCCCAGGAGGATTGTCTTGAATTTCATTGGGTAATCTCGTGAAGAATGGTGAAAGGCTTATAGTATCATTATCTCCTGATAGTCAAATAAGATAACATCTGTAAAGTGCTTCTAAACCTTTCAGCACTATAGAATGCTATTCTGATGATGATGATGATGATGATAATGATAATGATGATGATGTTTTTGAATGCTTGATTTTGGATTCTCCTTAGCTCTCAATATTCTCCCAGTTTGTCTGTGTATGTTTAACATTTACATAGCTCAGTTCTGGTTTTCTGTACAACCTTGAATTCAACATAGGAGTATTTGGATGCTTATAATTATCACATGACTCCAGTCCCTATTTAGGTTTGAAACTAGAAACCTCTAAAGTTAAACTCGGGTCTAGATCATCCAGTTTGTTATTGTACTTAAAGACCTGGCTGGAACTACACATTGAAATGAGGAAATGTTTAACTGGGACAGAGTTTCCAAGCAAATAGTAAAACTTGTCTCAGAACTGATTCCCCAGTGAGCACACTCTCATTCTAGATCCCCACCAAAGTAGCCTAAACAAAGAGCTTCTTAGGATTCAGGACTTTCAGTGTCTCTGTGTAGCTGGCTGGAGTGTACTTGGACACGTCCCTGGGTCTGAAGCTTCCAGGGAGGGGCTGAGTCTGTTTCTAAGATTGCCTGTCTCTTGCTCAAATCTTCACACCCTATTCTGCAACTTTTCTCTCTGTGTGGCCCCTAGTCATGCACTCTCCATGCAGATCCCTGGCCGCTGATCTCTCTGCTCCATTATTCTTTCATCAAGTGTTCTAAGCTTCCTTCCTGACTGTTTTCACCAAGAGAGGGTCAGAACAACATATCCTCCCTCTCCCCTACCTCCACCCCCAACCTACCACTCTTTGGCAGAAAATCTCTTTCCTCTACACAAGTCTGTGGTCTGTAAGCCTTTTCCCTTGGAGGGAAGGAATTTAATAAGAGCCTGGCCCATGCTCGCAAGAGTTGCTGGCTACATAGTTAAAGCACTTACGTTCTTTCACTCTCAATTAATAAAGAGGAATTAAATTGATTTATTCCACAATGGGCTACATTCTCAACTCCACCCAGACACTGGGAGGGTAGTTAACTTTGCCTTTTCCAGGCTGCCTTATGGTTCTAATCTTACTTGATTAGGTATATTTTAGTAGGTGTGGGAACAGATGCTTGGGCTGAAAACCTCAAGTCCTGATTCTCAGACCTCAGCTCCAAGCAGCAAAAACATTCAAAATCACATTTCTGATGGGATGATATGCAAGAAGAATAGAGGATGTGGTGAAAACAGATCTGGGTGCTCATAATCCTTGGGGCAAGTCCCTTAACCCATCGTGGTGCTGCTAGATCTGGCATCAGAGGGCCTGGGTTCAAATCAAGACTTTGGCACTTGGTTTACCTCTCTTGGACTCAGGCTTCTCATTTGCAGGGGAGGAAATTTATTGAATTAGAAAATGTCCTATCCCACAATCAATCTATGATCATTCCTGGGTCTTAATTTCTTATTTTGTCAAATGGAAATAGTATCTGTACTGCCTACAGTCAAATGCTTTCTATGTGCCAGGTACTGTGCTAGGCATGGAGAATTCAAAGAAAAGCAAAAACTCAGTCCTTGTCTTCAGGGAGCTGACGTTCTAATAACTCATCATTCATTATGGAATTGAGAGCTTTATAGAAATTGGAGTTACTATTACTATTATTGTTATTTGGGAGTCCGGGGTGGGTCTGGAATCAGAAGACTTGGGTTTCATGATACTTTCACTTTTGACCTATGTGATCTTGGTCATGTCATTCTTCCCCTCTCTGAGCCTTAGTTTCTTCCTTTGTAAAATGAGAATGTCAGATTAGGTCCCTTTTGGCTCAAAAATCTGATGGTTCTAACTTCTCTTCCATGACATTGAGGAGTTTGAAGCAGGAAGAAAGGAAGTCTTAGGGTTAGAGAAATGGATGGAGTAGGGGACTGGACCTGTGGTCAGACTAAGAAGTGAGGAGAGCAGATGGGGTGAAAGAGAGGGAGGAGTCACCTTGATGGATGGACCTATGCTACGGAGAATTATCTCTTTGGGCTTTGACTAGTTCAAAGACACATTGTCCAGGAACTTGTCCCCAGGAACTGGGTACCTGGGGCTGGTCCCTAGTTGCTCCTGCCATAGGACACACCCTGCTTATTTCCAACTTGCTTGGACAAATAGAAGGTATGTGAGAGGAGCATGGGTATGGAAGGAAACTGGGAGTGTCAATAGTCAGAGAATGGAGTTCCCCTCCACTAACCATCTCTGGGGATTTTAGAAATGCACAAGTCAAGTTTACCAGCAGAGACAACCTGAGGATTGCATAGAACCTCAGAGTTAAAAAAAAAATTTCAGAGATGACTTAGACCAGCCTTTTATTCAATGTATCCCTTCAATAATATATTGGATGCGTATTAAAACAGAGCCTAGATCTTAGGAGAACTGACGTGATTTCATTGTATCTTTGTATCCTCATCTCTTAGAGCAATGTTTGGCACAGAGCTTGTGCTTGATACATACTTATAGAATGAATGACATTCGATTTTAGGGTTGGAATGGGTATCAGAGGTAATATAGTCTAACCCTTACTTAAAATAAGAATATCCTCTCTGTCCTTAATAATTATATAGCCTCTGCTTGACTTTCAGTGATGGAAAACTTACTCTCTGTTGAGACAATACCTGCTCTTTCCTGTCCTTTAGACCCAGTAGATCTTTAATGTAAAGATAATTAAAATATGGCAGCTAGGTGACACGGGAGATAGAGTGCTGGGCCTGAAGTCAGGAAGACTCATCTTCCTAAGTTCAAATCCAGTCTCAGACACTTACTAGCTGTGTGATCCTGGACAAGTCACTTAACCCTGTTTGCCTCAGTTCCTCATCTGTAAAATGAGCTGGAGAAGGAAATGGCAAACCATTCTGGTATCTGCCCAAAAAACAAAACAAAACCCAAATGAGGTCACGAAGGATCACACCCAACTGAAACAATTGAACAACAAAAGAGTTATATTATTAGTATCTATAGATTGAGGAAAGAGATACTCTGAATTCCCTTAATATTTTAAAGTGCTTATTGTGATAGCATTACATATATTTGGGAAAAAATTCTATTACTGATCTACGTGAGACATTTGTTCAGTCTGTAGAAGGTTTTGTTTGCTTGGTGATTATTTTAAGTCATGCTGCTCATTTTATTGGACTAAAAAAGGTCCAAATGACAGTGCAATAAATAAGTTTGATACAGTCAGACCTTGAGTTCAAATTCTGTTTTTGTCACTTACTGCCTTTGTGTGTTCATCTATGAAATGAGGAGGTTAGCCAGGTGATCTCTAAAGTATATTCCAGCTCTAAATCTATGATCCCTGGTTACGGGTAGAGATGATGCCTTATCCTGGGAATGTTGACAATCTCACGAATTGTGGTTGGTAGGACAAAAGGAGCGCCAGAAGGTTCAAGTGACCAAGAACTGAGCTACAGAGAATGGCCTCAAGAGAAGAAATTGCACAAAATTAGAGTCACAGAATCTCAGAGTTGGGAAGGGGCCTAGAGGCCATCTATTCAAATTTCTATCTGAAAAAGAAGGATTTCCTCCATCAATAAGGATCATTCAATCAAGTCAATCAACAAGTATTAATTGAAGTCTTACTATGTACTAATCTTTGTAACCCCAAAGAAAGGCAAAGCATAGTCCCTGCAGTTAAGGAGTTAACATTCTGTGGGAGAGACAGCATGAAAATAATTATTCACATATAAAAG